CTTCTATCTAGCTATCTTGTCCATTGGCAAAAGTGGCCTGCTGAAATCCCCTACTATTATTGTTTTTTCAGTTTATACTCCTTTCAGTTCTGTCAGGGCTTGTGATAGATATGTGTGTGCATTTTTATGTTCTATGCATATATATCTATAATTGTTATATGTGTCTATGAATTGATCCTCTTATCATTATAAAACATCCTTTTGTCTCTTCTAATAGTTTTTGACTTAAAGTCTGGTTTTTGTTATATAAGGCATCCTGTTGGCTTTTGGTTACCATTTGCACAGATTAGTTTTTCCATCCCTTCATATTAGCCTATGCATCTTCTTAAATCTAAACTGTGTTTCTGGTAGACAGCATATAATTAGGTATTTTGTTTTGTTTTGCTTTTTTTCATTCAGCCACTTTATATCTTTTAATTGGGGAGTTTAATTCATTTACACTCTAAGTATTAACAGGTAAGGTCTCACTATTGTTATTTTGTTAATTGTTTTCTGTTAATCTGGTAGTTCTTTTGTCAGTATTCTGTATTTCTGTATTCCCTATGCTTTGATTTTTCCTTGTGCTTTGTTAATTTTATATTAATATGCTTTAATTCTTTCTCTTTTCCTTTACGTAACTTCTGTAGTATTATTTCTTTGTGGTTAATTTGTGAAGTATAAAAAAATCATAATTGTCTATGGAGAGCTGATAACAACTGAAATTCAATCACATACAAAAACTCTACACTTTAACTTTTTCCCCATGATTTACTTCATGTTGACACAATTTACGTCAACTAATATTATATTTCTTTTAACATATTTTCAGCTATAATTACTTTTAATACTTTCGACTTTTAACTTTTGTGCTACAATGAGAAGTGATTTACTGGAGCCAGCAAATAGCATAGCGGTTACATCACTGGAGTCCCACGTGGCTGACCATAATTCGAGTCCTGGACCTGGTGGCTTGAAACTCATGCTGGGCACATAGGCATGCCCACAATCCCAGGAAGAGAATGAAAGAGAAGGGATTGCGGCATGGTCATCCCCCGGGGGTGACTTCTCACTTTATTTGTTTATTTATTTATTTTTGAGAGGTTTTTGGTTTAGGGCATGTGCGCTCACCGGAAAGACAGAGATAGAGAGACAGAAAGCAAGAAATCACCCCCCCCAGGGGGGATGGCCACACTACAATCCCTTGTCCTCCATTTTCCTCTGAGGATCTTGGGCATGCACACACTTTCCTCTCAGGATCTTGGGCATGCACACACACGCACCCAGTGTGAGTTTAAGCCACCGGGTCCAGGACTCGAACTGCAGTCAACTGACTACATGGGAGTCTAGCAACATAGTCATTATGCTAACTGCTGCTCCCCTCACTTTCCTTCTCACTGTCTCTGTCTTTGTCTTGTGAATTCATGCTCCCTAAGGCAAAATCCTTAAAAAAAAAAAAAAAAAAAGTAATTTACTCACAATTACAGTAAAACAGTATCTTGAATTTACATATTGACCTTTACTAGTGAGTTTCATTCTTTCTTATGCTCTTGTGTTGTAGTTAAACAATTTTCTGTTTCATCTTATGAATTCTATTTAGCATTTTTTGTTAAGGCAGGTCTAGTGGTCATAAACCCCACTGGCTTTGGATTGACTAAGAAGGTCTTTATCCCTCCCTTCATTTTTGATGAACAGTTTTGCTTGGCCAGCAGTTTTTTCTTCCAGCACTTTGAATATATCATCCTATTCCCTCTGGCCTGCAAGGTTTCTGCAGGAAATATGCTCAAAAGTTTATGAAGGATCTGGTGTATGCAACAACTTGACTTCTCTTTTGTTGCTTTCAACATTATCCCTTTGACTCTGACTTTTGAGAATTTGATTATGAAGTTTCTCAGTGTTTCTTATATCCAAATGGCCGATGCCTTTAAGAAGCATATTTTACTTATTATTAATATATAGTTAAAATAAGACTTCTATTACTTTTTCTTGCTCTTTTTTTACTGTAACTTCCATTTTATGTATATTGGTCCACTGGATGATTTTTTACTATCAAGCTTTCTTAAGCTTTCTTCACTCTTTTCCTCTTTTTTTTCTTTGACTGAATTATTTCCAGTGACCTGTCTTCCAGTTTGTTAATCCTTTATTCCACTTGACCTCATCTTCTATTGAACCCTTCTTATGAATTTTTCAATTTAGTTATTATAGTCTTCAGCTCCATGATTTCTGTCAGGCACTTTTTACATTTTCTATTTCTTTGTTAGAATTCTCACTTTGTTCATGCATTATTCTTTTGACTTCAGTCAATATTTTCATAGGTGTTAGGTTTTTTTCTCTAGCAGGTAAATCATATGACTCCAGTTTAGTAGAGTTGACTTCTAAAGATTTATCTTATCCCTTTAGTTGAAATATCTCTGCCTGGTTCTTCATTTTCCTTGACTCTGTGTTAGTAGTACCTTCTTATTAGACAAAGAAGGTACCTCTCCCAGGCTTCATGAACTAGTCTTGTATAAGGGGAGATAGCCACCAATCAGTCTGGACAGAGTCAGAGGGCCTCCATCAACTCTTTCTCTCCCAGGTAAAAGCAGACAATTGTGTTTTTTTGTTTGCTCACTCTGTGCTGAGTGTGCAGGTTGGTGGGGGCGAGGGGGATGAGCTATGGCATTTACCAAACCAAACCAATCACCATAGTTCTCCCCTTGTAGCAAGATTGTGCCAGACACATGCTTGCTCTTTGGGTAACCCCAGCAAAGTTGGCCAATGATGACACTGATCAACTCTTTTCCTCCCTAGGAGGAAGTTAAGAGCTAGTATTTTTTAATCTGCTTGTTCTGTGCTGAGCAGAGAGAGGATCAATGATATCTATCAGCTCATGTCACCAGAAGGCCCTTGACTTTTGATGCTTTCCCTGTAGTGTGAAGAAGCTGTAGCTCCCATTGAGGTGCTCCCTGGATCATTCTAGTGTTTATTCTCAGCAGGGGTCTGGGTTCTCATGTTATATCTTTACACAGTAGCAAGGGGCAGTAGGTGTAATGGGAAAAGGCAGGTGTTAGTGTTAGCTAACCCCTAGTCCAGTCCCAGTCCTGCCATTCACTGTCAGGAAGAACTGCACACATGCTTCACTCTAATGAACCTTAATTTCCTCACCTATAAAATAGAGGTGATAATACCAATGGTTCACAGAAGTGTGATGCTACTAAATAGGACTAAGTAGTTATCAGAGAGATTCTGAGTACAACTTCCTGAGTTACCTTGGGCCTGAATGCTGTCTCTTCAGTTACTTTCCACACACCTGGTCCACTTCAGTAGCATCCTCTGTGGCACATGACACAGAAGACAGTGGGGAGTGAATGAGCCCACATGTAAGCTCGGAATAATGCCTGAGGAGCTTTTGAACAGGCAGCAATTAGCCATGCTGGCTTGGCACACACAGATGACACCCCTAATGTGTCCACAAACCTCAACTCAGTTTTGATAAACCAGTACTGGTTCAAAGGGACCCAGTCTGTGGTTCTCAAAACAAGACAGAATGAGAGTTTTCCTTATCCTTTTGAGTTTTTATAGGCCCAATGGGCAGGGAGGCCTGACACTAACACCTGGAACAGCAGAAAGAGAAAATGCTAAGGTCCTTCAAACACCAGCTCCTCCCTGGGAACCAGCAGTTAGCATAATGGCTAAGTCGCTGGACTCCCACGTAGTCGACCGCGGTTCACGTCCTGGACCCGGTGGCTTAAACTCATGCCAGGTGCGTGTGCATGCATGCTCATGATGCCGAGAGGAGAATGGAGGAGAAGGAATTGCGGTGTGACCATCCCCCCGGGGGGTGATTTCTCGCTTTCTGTCTCTATGTCTCTCTCTGTCTGGTGAGCGCACGTGCCCTATAGCAAAAACCTCTCAAAAAAAATAAATAAAACACACCAGCTCCTCCCTGAGTGACAATTATGTAAAGTGTTAATTCCAAGCAGACAACACTCAACTCTTCAAATACATTATACTTCAACAGAAAGTATTTTTAAAAAGGAATGCATAATTTCACTGGAGAAACTTTAACCGAGTTTAAAAGCAAGCAAACCTGTGTCTAGATCGCGTTGTTTCACTCTGAGGGCTTAGTTTCCTCCCCTATAAAATGGAAACAACACTCCCTCCTTTCTAGGCTGTCACGTGATGAACAAAGTGAGGAAGAAGGGAGACCTATTCCAGACCCTGGCACCAGTTAGAATAACACTTGGCTGTTACTCTGACATGGGCTAATTCCCAGACCAAAATGTCACTGCCCAAACCCTGTTTTACCAACAGAGTTCTGACCATCTCTAGTCAACATGGAAAGAGTAAGAGTGGAAACAAAAAATAGAACTGTGACACGCATCACCTAAGAATACAACAACTCCCCCCACCCCCGCCATGTGGAACCTGCTTCCCTGATGGAAAGTTCCCCACCTGGGCCCCATCCACACCTGCCCTCTCCTATCGTCACAACTGTGATCTCCAACCATCTTCTCCATCACCTCTCCACCCCTCATCACCTACACACCTCCCCAATCACCTACATACCTCCACCATCACCTCCCTCATCACCCACACACCTCCCCATGACCTACCCACCTCCCAGTCACCTAAATGCCTCCACCATCATCTACATACCTCTACCATCTCCTTCACACCACCCCATCATCTCCCCACCTCCACCATAACCAACACACCTCCCCATCACCTACACCTATATATCTCCACCATCACCTCCCCCATCACCTACACACCTCCCCATCACCTACACACCTCCACATCACCTATACACCTCCACCATCTCCTTCACACCACCCCATCATCTCCCCACCTCCACCATAACCAACACACCTCCACCATCACCTGCACACCTCCCTATTATCTCCCATCTCCACTATCATCTGCACATCTCCAATATCACCTCTTCATCTCCCTGATCAGCTCTCTACCTCCCACCATCACCTACATACCTCCCCACCACCTCTCTACCGCCACCATCATTTCCCATTAAGTCCCGACCTTACCTCACATTGTCGTGCCTCTGGATGTAAATCTTGTGGAAAATCCTCTCCGGGGGCTTGAGGAAGTCCTCCTTCATCTCCATGGCAACGTTCCGGGGCAGGAGGCTCATGAGGAGCCGCTCCTGGGCAGGAGAGAAGGGCCCACATCAGACAGCAGGTCCCCTGCTCTCCCACCCACACCTTTCCCAGTGGGGAGGGGTGAGAAGTTGGACAAGGAGCTGCAGGCCCCCTTCTTGGCACAGCTGATTATGCATCCAGTTCTGCAGCCCCTGTCCAGCCCCAGAGCCTTGATGGGTGCACACCCAGGTCTGGACTGCAATGAACACACACCTCACCCAGGAAGCAATGGCCCAGCCCAGCTGATCTCACACACCCAGCCATGCCCACTGCACCCTCACATTATGTCCATGCAGGTGCTGGGTCTTGGCCTGGCCACCAGGCACCCTGAGCTCAACATGGGAGTCATGGTCACTGACTCCAACCAGAGGCCCTGCTGGGTCTCTGTCCCCACAGGCTCTGCCCTAACAGGGCCTGAAAAGAGCATTCCAGATTGGCTTACAAGAAGTAACTATATTCCCGGGCTCCCAGAGGGCCTTGTTCTTACACAGACAAGAGGCCTTGGGGACAGCATGGATGTTTTCTTGATCTCTGTCTTATTTCCCCTTATCTGTGTAGATCAAGAATTTTCTTTTTTTCTCCCAAGAAAATAACATTAGAGTTTTTCAAAACCCAATTTTTTTAAAAAAATTCAAAACCCAAATAGCTCTACTATCCTGGAAAATAGCTTGCCTTCCCAGGCCTTGGTATCTTTGTTTGGCCTGTGGGCATGAGCAGGATTTTAGCACTCATCCTCCAGGTGGACCTCTCCCTGACCTCAGCTCCACTGGCCCTTGACCCGCTGGGCACAGCCCTGGGTCTGTGGAATCATGCTGGACACTCACTGTGAGAGCCCCTGGTTTGCGCTCTCCATGTTCCCATCCCACTCTACTTTGTAAAGGAAAACAAAACAGAGTTTAAGGCCCACAGACAATTGGACAGAGCATCTTATCAACAGGGAGGAACATGAAGCCCCAAGAGGGCAGAAGCCACTCAATCCCCCCACTGTCCTTGTCCAGGCTCCTCCCTGGCATCCAAGCCCCTCACCAGCAGATTATCTCAGCCACAGTGAGAAGCTTACGTTCCCTGAGGAGCCTGATACATCCCCTCCAGCCCATCTTCCCACTGGTGCAGGGCTGTGGGTGCAGCTCTTAGGACTAAAGTCCCTCCAAGTCCACTTCGTGATGCAGGAAGTCACATCTCTGACAGCCATCCTGTGTGAGGGTCTCAGATAGGACCACGGGAGCTCTGACACCCTCATGCCCAGGCTCTGTCAGAGAGCAGCATTAAAACCAGCGGCACGGACCCTGCAAGCCCAGCAGGCCTCTGGGAAGTGGCCCAAGGACTGAACCCCTTGGTGTCCCATTACAAACTGTTCCATATGCACAGCTCACTGTATGATGGAGAGTGGAGTGGGTGGACTCATGGAGCCGCCCCAGCAAGTTACTTTCACACATTGGAGGAGGAAGGCCAGGTCTGCTCTGCCCAATGTCAGGTGGGCCATGGTTTGCATGTCCAGGTGAGGCCTGTCCAGTCCTGGTCTTGGGGCCGGCAACTGGTTACGTGTCCTGAGTAAGGTCAAGATCCATTCTAAGACCCCCACCCCACAGGTCTGGCTAGATGATCCTAATGCAGAGAAGGGACACCACAAGGAATGCCACAAGAGACTGCTCATAAGCAGTCATTAGGTCACACAGCAAGAAAACACACAAGTGTCCAGGCCATGCATGACGGGACAGCCTTGGGATGGAAACACACCATCACACAGAGTGTGGGATCTTGTGCACATCTCTGGTCTGGCCTAGAGGTCCTAAGGCCCATCCTCTACTGCGGGGTATGTGGGACGAGGCCAAGACACAGCGTGTGGGAAGGGCTGTCTGCAGGTTACCACTGAGCTGAGGTGGAGGGACTCTGGGCTGGTGCTCACTCTGGACACACACCAATGGGCCAGGAGAGCATCAGAACCATGGGTTTCCTGAAGCATCCAGAGACCATCCCTGGTCCAAGGCAAAAGGGGCAGCAAGCAGAAACAGAAGCAGCAGCTGTACACACATGAAGGCTGGAGGAAAAGACCCAGAGGGGCACACTCAGGCTCTGCTCAGAACCCCAAGTTGGAGACAGACAGCTGCCCCAGCTCCAGACCTGAAGCAGGGCAGGTACCAGGGCTGGTTCAGCATGGCTATGCCATTCCTGGGGCTGTAGATTTGGTGCCTCAATGTCATCGTGTCTGACAGCAACAATGTGAAGAGCAACAGCAGCCCCAGGTCAGGGCCTCGGCCTCATGCTAACCACACCAGTCACGGGCAGCAAGCGCCATCATGTGGATGTGGAGCTCAATGCTTCTCGTGCCCTGTGTCTCTTCTGTCCATACAGGATCACCAGAAGCCCCTGAAACCCAAAGCAGGGGCACTACATCCTGTCCCAGGCCAGTGCCACTTCCCCTTGCAGTGGATATTCTCACAGCACTACCCGATAGCCCAGACACCCTCGCCATGAGGACTCAGCCAGGGAAGCCTCGGCTCACTAGTCTTCGAACCTCATGGCCTTGCATGGTTCAGGATCAGACCAGGGCATCTGAGTCAGTCACAGACCAGGCTGAGCCCATCAGGCTGGAGCAACTGAAAACACAGAGGGAACTGACATCAGGGACCTAGAGGGAAGGGGGAGCCATCAGGACCCCAGGTGCCCACCAGGATGGAGGTGATGGCTATAGGTGCCCTGCACACATCTTTGCACATAGAACACACAGAACCCCACACACATGTGGCTCCTGGCTGCACACACCTGGCCCGCACATACACGGCCCCCTGAACACACCACCTCTACATATGTCTCTCTCACACCACATGTAGCTCCTGCCTGCACATGCCTCTCCTCACATACACAGCTTCACTATCCACACATCACACATACACACACACGACTCCCGCCCACACACCCCTCCCCCCACATACATGCCCCCTCACACACACCCTCTGCACATGCCACACACCCTTCACACACACAGCACCCTGACACCCAGCCTCCTGTGTGCTCATGGGACACCGAAGCACTCTCCTAGATGCTAAGCCACAGCACAGGGTAGAGGGAAAGCAGCAGCCGGCCCCAGTCACCCTGCACTACCTCGAGCACCACAGTGGAGCCCCTTATTTTCATTGGGGTCCTTGGCTACTTTGAATGAAGATCTCACTGTCCAGCCTCCTATGCAGCTAGATGTGGCCAAGAAGATGAAAGTTAAAGGGTCAATGTAAGAACTTCTGAAATATTACCTAAAAACAGTTTGCTCCTTTACCCTTCTTCCGATGCTGTTCCTGGGAATATAGTCATAATGGCCGGATCTCTATCTACCATCTTGGTTCATGAGGATGATGTGCCACACACTAAGGACACAGGTAATGAACTAGAGAGATACTGGCTTGCTGAGGGCTTCCTGGATCAGACTTGCCACTACACCATGAAGGGTCACTCTGGAATATAAGAGAAAGCTGCCTCACTTGTTTAAACCACTGTCAAACCAAGCCCCTAAGGACAGACTTCCCGCTGGAGGGAAGAAATTAGTTCCACCCACTAAATCAGCACCTAGGGCCAACACATGTCAACGTCAGCTAAAAGTTCCCATAGGAAGCAAGACAGCCTTCTGACAAAATCCAGTCCTCATTCCCAATAAAAACAAACACATGCCTAGACAAAGCAGCTCATTCACATTGGGGAGATGCTACTTGATTCACTTTCACCCTCAAAGCTAGCCCTGATGGCCCACACAGCAATAAACATGAACACTGGGAATGTGTTCTAACCGGTGAAAGAAGTTACAAAGCCAGAAATCAAAGGCACGAAAGTTACTGCAAGTAGAAATCATGTGAAGTATCACGATTGCCCTACGAAGGCTGCGCTGGAAACCGTCATACACTATCTCAGCTGTCAAAACGTGACTAATGGGCCAGTCGGTGGCATTGGTACAGATGGGTAGATCCCACATGGCCGACTGCATGGCTTGAGTCTCGAACTGGAGGCTTGAAAAACACGCCAGGAATAAGTACGCACAAGCCCAAAATTCTAAAAGGCGAGGGAAATGGAGGAGAAGGGACTGTGTTCTGGCCATTCTCCACTGCAGGAGTGGCATGGAGGGTGCTGTCTCACTTTTCCTTTCTCTCTCTCCCCACCTCTCTCTGGTGAGTGCAATTTTTTTTATATATATCTTGTACATTTTTTTACATTTTTAAAAATATGTTGTCTCTCCTTAGAAAGAGACAGACAGTGAGAGAGGGAGTAAGAAATAACCCCACAGGGGGATGGCCACGCTGCAAACCCTTCTTCTCTATCCTCCTCCTGGGATTCTGGGCATGCATGCACACATGCCCAGTGTGATTTTCAAGCTGCAGAGTCTGGGACTCGAAATGCTGTTGGCCACGTGGGAGTCTAGCACCTTAACGACCATGCCACCTGCTGGTCTTGGCAAAAGAAAAAAATTTAAAACATGTGACTTACAGGGCCAGCAGGTGCCATGGAGATTAAAAAGAATTAACCTCCCACAAGGTCAACAGCATGGTTTGAATCCCAGTCCCTGCAACTTGAAATATACACTAGGCATGTGTGCGTGTGTGCCCAAAATCTTGAGAGAAGAATGAAATAAAAGGATTAGCAGTACAGCCAACCCTCCCCACCTCTGGGGGATGGGGATGATTTCTCACTCCCCCCTCACCACTCTCTGTCTCTGTCCAGCTGGCAAGAGCACCCACCTTATAGCGAACTAGGGGAAAAAATGTAATTTAAAATAAATGCACTATTTTGAATAAAAATCAGACATCCAAATGGTACTCATGAGGACTCTGCTTCTAATTTTTAGATTTTTTTTGGTACAAAAAAATATCTAAAATCCACGTGCAGATTTTTTCTCATAATATGCATTTTCCATGAAGTTCTTGAAGACCCTGTATATATTCCAGACAAAGTGTTGGAGAAGCAAACAGCTCAGGGATACAAATGCACATTGACCCAAAGAAGGCTTAGCAAATGCTGCCCTCTC